CTGCCAAGCCATGAGAGGACTACAGGGTATACATTGAGACCATAGGTCTAGACAGCTGAGCAGGTCAGAGACCTGGACACAGGCAGTTGTCTGTCTAAGGTAGCTCTGTCAATGCTAGGTGTAGTAAAAAGGTGGAACAGAAGGCAGGGTGAGGTGAAGGAGTGGTAGCAGTGGCCTCAGTGGGCACAGCCATGGCTTTTGGCTACCAAGCAAGAGCTGATCTACTCAAAGGGTAGCCCCACAGTTCTCCCCTGACTGTGACAATTTCTACCACTGCATCTCTCCTGCTCTGCTGCTCCACTAGAGTGAGCAAGGGCCTCCAAGCCCAGGCTTCTGGCACCCCCAGGCACATGCAGATCTGGAGAACAGGCTCCACAAGTCTCCATTGACAAAACTAACCTATAAAAGCATTAAATTCATAGGAAGCCTGCTTTCAGCAAAGCTCTTCTAAAAAAAAAAAAAAAAAAAACAACAACAACAACAGCTATCTATGAAGCCAGGATATAACTTCTAGATGAAAATCAGACAAAGAAAGAGCAGCTTCCTAGATCAGGGCCTGGCCTTAGCCCTAGACATAGGATGAGCTGCTCTCCCAAACAAGACCACATGGTGACCCTAGGGTACATCTCTACCTCTGCTTACTGACGAAGCATCAGGACACTGCCTTAAAGAGTAGACACAGCTGGGCGGTCATGGTGCACACCTTTAATCCCAGCACCCAGGAGAGAGAGGCAGGTAGATCTCTGTGAGTTTGAGGCCAGCCTAGTATACAGAGTGAGTTCCAGGACAGCCAGAGATACACAGAGAACCCCTGTCTCAAAAAACAACAACAACAAAAAAAAAACCAAAAAAAAAAAAAAAAAAGGAGGAGACATAGCCTCAGGAGAAGGTAAACATGGCCTCCAAGGACACCCATTATCCAATACCAATCAAATGCAACTGAAAAACAATTATTTGCTCTAGGGTCTTTTTCTCCTATTAATCACATATTTGTAGGGGTCATCCAGGGACTAGTCCTGAGGACAGATGGACAGCTAGGATGTCAGCATCAATGGAAATAAAAACTCAGAGACAAATATTGCCATGGCAAGCTGAGTGTCAGGCTAAGTGCTCACAGGCCCAGGTCAGGAGAGCAGCTTTCCAAAGGGAGAGACCTGCAGTTTTGAGAGTGCAAAGGACCTTAGGGACTGTTAGCAGAGCACACCAAGGCTGAGATAAGAAAAGCAGACAGAGCCAGCCTTGGTGGCACAAGCCTTTAATCTCAGTGCTTGAAAGGCAAAGGTAGGCAGATCTCTGAGTTCAAAGATAGCATGGTCTACATAGTGAGTTATAGGCTATAAGGGTATATAATGCGACCCTGTCTCAATTCTTTTTTAACTTAAAAAAGAAATAGTAGTAGAAGGAGGTAGAGGTCTGTGGAAGTGAGGAAAATTATTCTTCCCATATGTTATAATCTCAGCCACCTTGTAACCAATTTCTAAGAGCCAAGACAAAGGTAAAAGCAACAATGCCCCATAGTGTAGAATTTTTCCTATTCTTCTCTAGAGCAAAATAAGTCTGACCATGACAACTTTGGAGGAATACGCTATCAAATTCTGACCCTCTACATGTCTCATAAACTAAGTATCTACTATGCTACTAATCCATCTCACCACTATCCCAGCAACGGCTGAGCTGTCTGCAAAGGACATCGCATTTCATAAAGTCCTTCAGCAGCCCTTAGAGATGGTGTCTTTACAGCCCGGCCACACCACGTTTATCTCTCTGAATCTACAAAAAGAGTTCCCCAAGTGACACCAAGAGGTGACAAAGAGGCAAAAATGTTAACTCAGATACTGTCACTCCTAGTGCAAGCCTTGCCAAGCACTACCCCAATCCTCCCGAATCCCTTGCCCCACAACCCTGGCCAGAAGCAAGCACAGTTTGTCAGCACTAAATCAGTGTAGCACAGAGAGGCTGAGCCCAAAGAGCAGGAAGATGCCAGGTATGTTCTGAAGCCCCAGCATGCTCTTTTCCATGTCTGAGGCTCTGACAGTTTCTGATATTACAACCCAGTAGTCAATCACCATCAGGAATATGATTCGCATACAATCCCCAGATAAAATCTCACCAGATGGATCCCCTAACCTATAGACCCAAGACAGCCAGAAAGCTGTGACTCTCAGGATGTTTGCTGTAAAACCTTTCTGGGATCTAAATGAGAATTTCCTCACTCAGCTAATCAGCCCCAGCCGGGAATGGACATGGCAGCAGAAACAGACAAGGTATGGCCGGGGGATGCACTGTTAATTTGGAATGGCTGTGTCCTGCCTCCAAGGAGTTCACACGGTCAGATGTGTCCGCATCTATTAGTGAAATCTGACAAGGATGGTACTGTGCTTTGGAAGAAGGCCACGGTTTATGATGCCTTTCATGCTTGACAGGCACTGGTCACGAATCACAGCCAATGGAGGAGTTATAGGTCAAGAAACTGGGACTTAGGCTCCGAGGTGAGCGTCTGTGCACGTGCTGCCCATGAGAGCCTCTGAAGAGAATGTCAACATGCCCACAAAGCTTCTGGGCACATGATAGGCCTTGTCTGGGGGCAGGACACCAACAGTCCAATCCCAGACCCACTTCTCTGGTTCTGTGCTCAGAGTTGTCATAGTTTTTTTCTCATTCATATATATTTAAAGGATACATGAATTTTTAAGCCAAGAAGGACTATCACTTCATGTATGTAGTATTCCAGCCCATTTTGTCAGGTCTCTGCACCTTCCTGTCCAGGGATGCTGCTAGTTCAAGTCTCTGACATGTAGGATATGCCATGTGCACACAGGGATCTGTGCTATTAAACATGAGGGGTCCCATACATCCTTCCTCAACAAGCCCTCTTCCATCCCAGCTTCTTCTGAGATGTTTGACTGGGTCCACCAGGCACACCCTAATGTCTTCAATGAAAGGAAGCCCCCCACTACAGTTGTGCTTTCTCAACAGCTGTCCCCTAATTCCAGTATCCTTAGCAGTCTAAACAGTCTGAGAATCTGTGGACTAACCACACCTTAATAGCTCTTCCTTGATTCGTTCCTTTCTCCCCATACCTCACTTTTAAGTGTGCTTGAAAATCTTAGCTGACTATCCAAATATATCACAAGTTCTGCGTTCCCTGACCTACTAGTAAGATTCCTGAGAAGTCACCTGGGAATATAGGTATACCACAGCAAGAGAAGAGCTGGATGTACAGGTGCTAAACATCTGTCACAAGCTTGAGGTTACAGGTCAGGATGTAGATGGGTAAAAAGGGTGGCCAGGGGTTTCAGATCATATCCCCACACAAATGTCTGTTTGCCTACCCAGGATGGGGAATGTTGGTTTTATCTTCCCTCCAAGCCCTTGTTCTCGGCCCTGCAGCTACTGACTCTGCCATCAAAAGCCTTCTCTACTCCTTCAAATGCCCAAAAGACCCCTATATTAAAGCTCACCCCTGAAAGCGCCATTACAACTCTTTCCTATCTTTAGTTCCTCTCTCAAGCTGCCAATATGTGTTTGCCCAGAGTGGAAGGAGCTAGTCTAGCTGGCCCTACAGGTCTACCTTGCTGAACACAGGAATTGTTCAGAAATTTAGCATCAATTTTCTTTCTGTTCCAACTAAGAGTTAGCACATAGTCACAGCTCTCTTCTTGTTTTCAATTTTCATAATTTTATGCTTTATTTTGTACAATCTATACTTGTAATCCCTGGCTTTAAAAGGCTTCGTCTTATGTGATCTTCAGAGGAATATCTACACTGGGGGAAGAGAAGGGGATTTTAATCCACAATTATCCTTAGGAAAGGACAGGGCCTTGCTGCCCAGTTCTGACTGCATCATCCATGGAGTCTCTGGATTTATAAGAACTCAGTCTCTCCCGGACCCCAAATTGGATCTCCCTGCTTTCTTCTACCTTCCTTCATGTGACATACAACACTATTCATCTCTGTCCCTAGAAAATGCCCTTTCCTGTGCCCAACCACACTGTTCCAAACCAAAGATGGCAAAAGTTACAGGAATAGGATGACCCTTTCTTGCTCAGGACAAGGGCTGAGCTTTGGCCTGCTTGCTCAGTGCCCAGACATATGCTTAAACATGGGCATTATGCTGTAAGATCTTACGCTAGGCAAACACTCCACCACTGAGCTCTTGTCAGTTCCACTCCTCCCGCCCCAACACATACACTTTTTCTTTTGGAGACAGGAGCATATTAAGGTCCCCAGCCTCGGCTTCTTTAATAGCTGGGATTACAGGTGGGTACCACTAGGTCTAATTAAGTAATACCTTCTAAATAAAGTCATTATCAAAGTCAAACAGGCCATGGTACCTGAAGAAGGAGGAGATGGGGAGAACATAAGCCTTCATTCTTCCTAAGGGTATTCAAAGGGCTTTCAGGGCACCTGCTGTGGTCACTGAGAAGGCAGAGTGATCTGTATTAGTGGCATAGTGGACGGCTGCACCAAAACTGCAAGGGATTTAAGATTCTTATGGCTAAGAAAAAGGTGTCTGAGCTCTAATGCCTGGTTTAGTGGCACGCACACACGCGTGATCTTAGCACTGAGGGGGCTGAGGCAGGAGAATCACAAATTCACGGCTAGCCTGGGGTACAAAGGATAGAAAGATAGTTCTACCATACTTGTTGCCAACATCCAGAAAGCTTAGACTTTCACCCTGACACCCTAGTTTCTGGGCCATATGCTCTTAAAACTCACCTTACCCCTGAAGACACAGCATCTTTATCTTGGGAACCTCTCATATGAGCCCCAATTAGCCCCTACCACACAGTCACCGCTGTGAGACTTGGGAAAGCAGCAGTTCTAGAATCCAGAATGGTTGAGCAGTGGATGGTGTCTCAGAGCTGCCCACTACCTCACCCCTCAGGAAAGAGAGAAGACTTAGGAAAGGTACAGTATACTCTGCTGCCCTGAAAACCAAGTTCCTGTCCTCTCCTCTGCTGCTATGGGGAACAAAGGAAAGTCAAGGCAGGACTGACCTTGAGGGCAGGGATCTCCACACTGTCCCCGAGGCTAATAGTGCCTGAAAGGATGGTTCCAGTCATCACGGTGCCCTGACCCTTGATGGAGAAGCAGTGGTCCACAGACATAAGGAACGGTCCTGAGGGGTCTCTTGCTGGGATGGATATCTGGGACTTCAGGAGCTGGAAAAGAAATGTTGCTATAGCTACGTACAGGCGTGAGGGCTATGTCACTGCTATCCTCCAGGGCCACCTGGCAAGCTGGCCCAGATCAAAGAACTAATACTGCAACTTAACTCAGTGAGAGGAAACAAGGACTCGGTGAGGCCTCCATCCTATAGAGGAAAGGAATGTGAGCAAAAGACAAAGGAGGGAAAACTTGAGGTGAAAGGGTAGAAGGCTGGCTTCCAGGGGCAGCAGCCTATGCCTGAGGTCCAAGGCCAAGGTCTGTGATTGTGCTATGGAGTCTTTCTGCCCTCTTCCAGGCCCTAACAAATGGAAAGCTAAGTTAATTCAGCCCTGAAGCTACTGTGACTTGGGATTCCACCTTTCCTTCATGGCTCACTTTCCATATGCAACAGTACCAACTGGCCCCTGCTCCTCAGGTCATTTATGTGCTTGAGATATAGGCAGAGCAATCACTATTTTTTACAAAAGTGCAGAGGCCAAACTGTTTTTGTATTTTCTACTTTCTGATTTCAGGAAGGAGTATAATGATGTCCAAGTATTCAGGTCAGGAATAAATAATTCTTCTCAAAGCATTGTCTCATGATAACAACTCCTTTGGGGGAAAAAATTAGAGAGACTCAGAAGAGACTTGATCTGAGATTTACACAGAGACTCATTCCTTAAAGGAACATACAAATATCTTTCAAAGTTATAGTTTTCTGGATTTTGCTTGAATTATCCTAGGATCCCAGATTTGTGTTCCCTAAAACTGGTGGAGTAACAAGAGCATCTTCCAGAAAACATTTGTTAAGTGTAAAATATAGGCATGACCAGTACATGGCAGTTACATGTGAACTTAGCTCTGGGGATCTGGGTGCAGGTGACCCCAACAAACTCTGACCATTGGTCTTGGTCTGAGTTCCCACTAAGATAAGCAGGTAAATAAATGATCTATTTTTTTTTCTTCTGTTCTTTCACATAAAGTAGGAACTCTGGGCATTGTGTTACAAACCCTCAAAGGTTCAGAATGGAAGACAGAAGGTTCCAGGCCAGCTTGAGCTACTTAATGAGATCCTGCCCCCAACAGAAAGGGGGCAGCAATAGCACAATTGCCCCTATCAGTTTATTTCATATAGTGGGAGCATGGGGATGTGATAGGTAGGGAGATTCAGCCCTGAGGGAGAGGCCTCTCAAGAGGAAGTAACTTCTCTAGGAGAAACTGACGTTCCACACTTGCCTATCTATCATGGGTGCTTGATGAGGGGGAAGAGGATACATGGCAGATGAGACCTGTGTGACACCTGGGGGGCCACGTTAGCAATCTTGCAAGCCTGCATCCCAGGCAAGGACAGTCCATGAGATTAAGACCATAGATCAGATGTCTCAGGAGGGGATGTGCTCATAAACTTGCCATGAAGTGAATGGGGCAGGTTATTTCACGTCTCTGAACTCTGAAAGAGTTCTCAGCCTTCCAGCTGTTGAAAATGTTACAGGCCCAGTATGTTAAGAACTTAACTGTGAAGACTAATATGCCAAATTATGTCACTGTTGTGGTAAACAAATCACCCCCTAGTAACTCAATTAGCCTCATAGCATCTCTGTGACAGTGCCATTACCTTCTCTGTATTGCAACTCTGTTCACTGCAAGAAATCGATCACCTGATACCTGTTATTTGAGAAGAGGTTTCACTAAGTAGGCTGGCCTCAAACTTCCCATCTCCTAACCTTAGCCTCTAAGGATGTGTGCGACCACACCAATGAATCACTTGAGTCCTGTCAGAGAACAGTGGTAGGCCAACACTAGCACGGTCCAGTACAGAGCTCCTGCACCCATGTCAGTGACTGAGCTCAGGGAAGTGACTCGGTCCTTCCTTCTTACCGCCTTCTTCCTTCACATCACTATCTTTATCACCCTGCGCGCATCCCTGTCTGCTGGACAAGGACAGTGGTCAAACTAGTATTCACCAAGACCACCAGGGTGATACCTGGATGGAAGTCCCATTCCCTAGCAAGCTGGTGAGTACCATTACTATGCTCTGGGCTTCTGCTATGCTCTCAGCACTCTCTGCTCAGTGAGAAGGAAAGGACACTGGCTCACCTGGATGACTGGGCTGCCTGTCTCTGTCCACTGCCACTGAGCAAGGAGGAAAGGCCTGAGCCTTAAGCTCATAGTTCTGCAAAATGAAATGTCTACTCCTCCAGTGGAGGCTGTCAGGATGGAGGCTGTGCTGCTCCAGCTGCAAGCAGACTAGAGAGACCAGCACAATCTGAAGGACAGGAATGGGCCTGTGATCAGATATGGTGCACTGGGCAGAGTCTACGCTGAGGGATGAGGAGAGGGGGAGAATGGTAGGCTTGAGGGACTGGTAACTTTGGTAGACACCACTTTGAATTAAAGTGTGTGAAAGAGAAGGGATAGACTAGAATACACAGTGGGTGGGAAGAACTCTGCACAGTCTAATACCCAGGGGTTCTATGGCCCTTTGTTTTAGAGTTTCTGAGGGAGGTGAGGAGTCTGACATCAGAGTGAGTGGGAGACCCATGAAACTTGGAGACCTTTTGCTAGAGTTGCCTCTCCATCTCAGGCAGAGGGAGACGTGGAGGGCTACTTGAGCAGGGCTGGAGCAGAGGGCAACATGAATTCAAGCTGACAGTACCTCAATGAGTTCTGAGATGCCCTGTGGGGCTTCTGTCTCAGGGGCCTCTGGTCCTCCAGGCTTGGCTGCCACAGGAATAACAGGTGCACCCCGGAATCTGAAACAGAACAACAAACATCGTGACAGTCATAGAGGCATAACTCAGGACAGATCTGTGGAACTGCTGGCATATCACTCTTCAGGTGAGTATGGGAAGGTAACACCACTGCTCTGGATTGCCAGGCAATGAAGTAGAGGCCCCACAGAGAAAGGCTCTACCTTTGGACATCAGAATCTAGGGGTTCACTAGGAGCTCAACTCCTCCGGAGCCTCCCCAGGAAGCAGCAGGAACCTAGGTAGGACTTAGAATACAAGAGGCCCTTAAAAAGACTCACACAATCTGGCTCTCTGAAATTCAGGACTAATGGTGACCCCAAAGTCCCTAAAGCTGCATGTAGGAAGCCCTGCCTCTCCAAGAAGAATCTCTTACTTAAATCATCTTCAATAAAACAAAACTAGTAATTTTGTCAGGGAAAGGAGGAAAGAGAAGCAGTGTATAATCCCCTCACTGCGCTATCTTCTCTTCTAAACATAGCTTTTCCATGCTTTGCACCAAGGAAAGTTCCTTGGATAGTTACTGTTCTATTGCTGTAATGAGACACCATGAAAAAGGCAACTTATAAAAGAGAGAGTTTAATTTGGGACTTACAGTTTCAGAGGGTTAGAGTTCATGATGGCAGAGCAAAGGCATGACAGCAGAAACAGCTGAGAGCTCACATCTTAATTCATAAATAGGAGGCAGAGAGAGGGAGGGAAGGAGGGAGTGAGGGAGAGAGAGAGACAGGGAAGGGAGAGAGTCTTCTGAAATCTCAAAGCCTGCCCCCAGTAACACAGTTCCTTCAGGAACACCACACTTTCTAGTTTATTCAAAATAGTTCCACCACTGGGGACCAAGAATTCAAACAAATGAGCCTATGAGGGCCATTCTCATTCAAACCACCACACCCTAGTTCCATGTTCTCAAAATCTTACATCAGATATTTCATATGTATGGATGCCACCTCATACCCTACTATCTTAGTGATCATCATAACACAGAGTTTTCTACTGAATAACAGCAACATCAAGCACAATGACAGCTTAAACATGAATGTTTTGTTTACACCCCAACTTACCACCATGGTTCTGTCATGCGGTAGACGAGGAAATGAAAATTGCAGAGGCATATTGCCTTACTCCAAGACTCTAGCTATAACCTTAGGAGTAAACATAGACCTTCTAAGTGTGGAACTTGGCTTTCTACCCCTTCTTCACGCATGCCCTCTTGGTCTCATCTTCATCACTGTTGGCTGCACAATAGTATGAAATCCAGAATTTACATGCTTGCCTTGGAAGTTCCTCATTTATGAGCTTTAGTGTTATTACAAATAACACTGCAAAAGGCATAATGGCAAGGACAGACTTAGCTTGGCTTTGGGGGAATCCATAGGCTATGAACCTCAGAATGAACAAGACTTTCGAATATAAACAGTCATGGTGAAAAAGTACATGTAAAGGGCCTCTTTATGGAAGCTACAAAAGCAGGAGTAGAAATGATCCAACTTTTTCAAACTCTGGAGTTAACCAAAGGCTTGAACAAGAAAAGTAAAAAAAAAAATGACTGGGTTTCCGAGAACAAGTTAAAAATAGATATTTTTCTTCAAAGATTTAAAGTTCTTGTCATATCCGAAGGATGCTCAATTGTGCCACAAGGACATGTGCTCAACTAAGTTGATAGCAGCATTGTTTGTCATAGCCAGAACCTGGAAACAACCTAAATGACCCTCAACTGAAGAATGAATAAGGAAAATGTGGTACATTTACACAATGGAGTACTACACAGCAGAAAAAAATAACGACATCTTGAATTTTGCAAGAAAATGGATGGAGCTAGAAAACATCATTTTGAGTGAGGTAACCCAGATCCAGAAAGACAAATATCACATGTACTCACTCATAAGTGGTTTTTAAACATAAAGCAAAGAAAACCAGCCTACAAATCACAATCCCAGAGAACCTAGACAACAATGAGGACCCTAAGAGAGACATACATTGGAATTAGAAAAAGACAAGATCTCCTGAGTAAATTGGGAGCATGGGGACCTTGGGAGAGGGTTGAAGGGGAAGTGAGAGGCAGGGAGGGGAGAAGGAAAAAAATGTAGAGCTCAATAAAAGTCAATTAAAAAAAAAAACAGGTAGTGGACTAGAGAAATGACTCAGTGGTTAAAACACTTGCTGTTCTTGCAAAGTTACCCCAGTCTGGTTCCTTGCATATCCATGGTGGTTTACAACGGTCTGTAACTCTAGTTTCAGATTTGATGCCATCTCCTGGTGTTTCCATGGGCACCAGGCATTTACATGGTGTGTAGGCATACATGTAGGAAAAATACTCATTCACATAAAAAAAAAATCTTGCTTTGAAAGTAAGTAAAACAGATCTTCACCAACCCTACATTGGTCAGAGGGTAGAAGGGGAGGGGGCAAAGAAAAATATATAGCTCAATAAAAACAATTTTAAAAAGAAGAAAAAAAGGAAGAAAAATTCCAAACAGCTTTTTTAAAAATCTAATTTACATATCAAAACCCATAGCTAATATATTATTTGGGGATTTTAAATAAATTTTTAGAGTAGTACACCCATTTGCCATAATCCAGTTTTAGAGTGTTGCCATTTTCCTAATGTTCCTTTGTGTCGTTTCCCTCAATCCTCAGTCCCAACTAACTCGATGTGACTGTCAGTTTACTGTTTGTATATTGGCGTTGTAACAGCGTAAAATGAATGCAGACAGATTGTAAAAATATATACAGCTTTAATGGGGAAATAAGACTTACAGAACCACCGTTCCCGCGGAGACCAGGAAAGCAGAAGCGAGAGCCAGGAGGGAAGACTCCGCTTTTTTAAAGAGAGAGAGACCACGCCCCAATGGGCTGGTATCTCAGCAGCTATTGGCTGGAGGAGCGGAAGGACCTCCCGCAACATGGCGTTTTCTAGATTTCCATAGAAATGAAATAAAAAGCATATAGTCTTTAAAAAATAGATATTTTTAACCTGTTTTGTTCCACCTACTCCCCAACTTTGTAGTGGCCTTAAAAACCATAACAATGCTGAAAACCAGCATCTGCTAGGTCCTGGAGGGGGGCAGAATGGGTTTTTAGTTCTATCAAAGCTCTTGATTCAGAGAAATATAACCATTTCCCATCTGGTAGTTTCCCAGAAGGCCCCTAAGAAAGGCTATGTGTATCTGACCTGTTTTGGAACTTTTAAATAGGAGTAGGAAGAGGTCCAGAAACCCCAAAGGCAAGAAGGCAGAAATAGGCTATATTTAAGACTCCCACAATTGATTGAAGGGACCCCAAGCCCACATCAATCTCATAGAAAGAAGAAGCCATGTAAGGATGGATCCCTAACATAGTGGGATGTGTCTGACAGCTGGTAGTGACAGACTGGATGGCTTGAGACAGAGACCCTGGTATGCAGCTGAAAGCAAGCTCAAAGCATCAGGAACAAACACAAAAAAAAAACCAAAGGAGGGTTCCCCACGCTCTACTCCCAGTCCCCTTACAACACAGAGGAAGAAGGGGAGAAAGAGACTTGCCAGACTACCAGAGGAGGAAGAGAATGAAGACTTCAGAGCTCAGTTGTTGGCTCTGGCCAGAAGGCAGGCTCCGGAATGCTGCTTTCTTTAGAAAAGGAGGACTGCCTTCAAGACTTGCCAAAGACAGATGCTGCTGAGACTCACTGTACCAGGCTTCTGTCTCAGACTCATTCCTGACTCGGCCTGCAAGATTCCGTGCTCCAGCTGCTTTTTTGAGGTATTTGTTCCTGCAGCTGTCTCCAGACTCCAAGACCTGCTTCTCCAGAGACCTGTGACCCCAGCCTTCCACACATACCTCCTACTGCTACTGGGGTCACAGGTCTCTGGAGCAGCAGGTCTCTGTAGCACAGGTCTCTATAGACCTGTCCTAAAGGAACTTTCCTTGATTTGGCATCTGAGGTGCTAAGAGCGTTCTAGCACCCTACTGCCACTGACTTTTCTGAGCTGTACCCCAAAACCTGCTGGGGCACATGGAGCTATGGTCCCCACAGCCTCTTGTTTGCCATCCTGTAGCTGCTGAGGGCCCCAGAGTTTCTATTTCTTATGTGAATTTTTACTTTCCTGTTTAAGGCATTACTCCTGCATGAAACTGAAGTCCCCCCTCGCTTGCCTTTGCTGTCTGCCCACTCAGTTCTTACAACGAGGGTAGACAGGAACCCAGAATAGGACAATAGCCAGCTCATTTTCTCATTGCAAAAGCCCTTTCCCTGAGGGCATCTGTTGAAAATAAAGAGAAGTAATCAATAACACAATGAAGTGAGAGGTAACAGTTCAGACAAACAATGAGCTGCTTGAAAAGCTTAGCAGGAAAAGCTAAGGAATCAGATGCTCATAGCTGGCTTGGAAAAACTCTGACACATCCTAAGAACTGAGGTCACTCCAGGCACAGGGCGTGTGTGCTCAAGAGAAACCCTAGAAGAATCTGGGCCTCACTTCTGATTTGAGGTTTTATGTAAACAGAAAGTAGAAGCTAAGGCACAGTTGTCAACTGCCTGCTGGAACACTGATAGCTTGGCTCATCATACACATAGAAGCTCCTCAGCAAGAAACACCCTACACCCTAGCACCTGGGGAAACCTCTGTCCTATCATTAGTGAGCAGTAAGCTAACTGAATGGAGTTATGTTAACTCGGGGTCATCATGACAAAGAACACAGACTTTACACAATCTGTTCAAAAAAGAAGTCATCAAACTATAACCAAGTATAGTGAGGGTGTCTGTGACTTCAAAACTACCACATTAAATTATTCTAAATGCCTAGGCTCCATCAAAAATTTATTATGTAGGCACATAGTTCAGTGTTTGGGTTTTTATTTTTGTTTTTGAGGAGGGGGCATGTGTGTTTTTGCTATGATATAATACATGAGCCAAACAATTTAACAGAGAAAAGATTTATTCTGGCGTGGGGTTTCAGAGTCTATCACAGTAGGGAGGGCATGGGGGAGCAGGACAACTCACCTCATGACAGCCAGGAACACACAGA